CAGTCCCAAAGGTCAGCATAATCAACTAATAATAATAATAATGATGATGATGATGATGATTAATTGTATACGCATTGTGATTTCATAATGTTATTTTACTGCATCATGCATTACCTAAATGAAGGTCGTATTTCTCATTTATTCTCTTTCTAAAGAAATCCAAATGAGTATCATCGCCAGCAGGAGTCCATAAAAGAGCGTCTTCCATGATCAGAGTGTCCTAAAGGCTCTGGGCCGATCTTTTATTGGATCATTTATACAAGACTCGGATCATCAGCCAATTTTATGAGGCGATGGGTCATGGGCGGGGTCTTCTCCACCCACATTAATTATATTTTTGATGCAAGTGCCAAGTGGTCGTAAGAGCTTCCCTTTGCAAGCATGCACAACACTACTGGTGTTAAATTTTTAACTATTTTTGTGTTTTAGCGTGTAAAAATAAGGTTCATGGTTTGTTCTATGGGATATTGTTCAGTGACGGTATCTCTGACTCATTTCCATAACTCGAGAATCACCTCTCCTCCATGTCTGTGCTGAACTCGTTTGAAACTGTACAGTCCCTAATTAGAATAATAATAATAATGATAACAATCATCACAATAGCAGCTGCTATATTGTACTTGATTTCCTCCTCTTGCAGCAGCATCCACAAATACAAATGATGATGGATATAAAGACCACTGCTACTATTAGACCTCCAACTGATGCACCAATTATTATTATCAGCAAACGAGTAGCTAAAGAAAGAACAAATAAGGACATAACAATGGACCAACAAACTCTGTATTGCAAGTTACATTAAATTATTTGATTAAAGTGCATGATGGATTACAGTTGCAGTAGTATCTTACATTCTTCTTCTGTAGGTGCTTCAGTAACATTCATTGTTACATTGAATGGTCCCAGCCTCGTCAATTCTGAGTATCCATGCTCATTAATAGCAAATACTTCTACATAATACATCATTCCACCATTCACTGGAATAGAGACACTTCTGTTGGTATTGTTAGTGTAGTCTGTGTATTCGTAGGTCTGAGTGTACAGTTCACTTCCTTGGTCTGTCTCCACTGTCATGTTAAACGAGAGGCTGCTTCCTGCTAGTATTCCTGCATACTGGCACAGTAAAGAAGCACTGATTAGTCCTGGGCTAGTTGACACTGCTACCACTGGCCTGGAAGGTTTACCTACATTACATGCAATTGATAAATAAAAGAAAATGGAACTTAGAGTATTCTGACCTATTACTGGGACAAGGTTCTGTCTTAAAGTAGCACCTCCTACTAGATTGTATGCATTCACAAAGCAGTAGTATTGCCTTCCTGCAGTAATAGGACCAAGTGAAAAACTGGCCATGAGTTGGACATCAAAGCATCTTTCTTCACAAGAGTATGTGAAGGTATTAGCATCATTCATATTGTGATCTCCACTGCCACTGCCTAATTCATAATCCATGTCT